TATTCTTGATTAACCATTGATTAATGCCTTAAATAGTGACAAATTTCTAATTTACACGTTGCTAATCTTTCGTAACACTTTCAGACTTCATCCAAAGGTCAAATATTTACTCTTTGTATTATTGGTACTTTAGTAAATTGTCCCGATCCGAATGTAAATGAACCACAAAGTATGCATTGATTTTTCTATTCTTTGATCTGCTGAAATCACCATTTATTTCGATTTTTAACAGTCTACTCTCACGTTTATTTATAAATTTATATTAATTTACACAAACAGCAATATGCAGAATTGCAGAATAATATTTACAACGATTATTTTTTAAAATAGTTTTATAGCAAAAATAAAATCAGAGTTGAATTTGATTTAGCGTATACTACTCATTATAAATAATTTATTTCCTTAAAAAATATTTATATATGTAATAATAATTAAATTAAAATAATCACTTTAAATTCCAACTTGGCTTTGGATCACGAACTGCATATTTTTTTAGACCATTTTTTTAATTTTGCTCTACTTCATATTCACCTCAGTGTCGAGACCTTCGACTTCTTTCTGACATTTGATATTCCCTCGTCTAGAAGTCGCTTTCGCTAGACATTTAAGTGGCTACACTTAACCTGGCACTTGAGAAAAAAAACACAAAAAAACTAAGAGATTTTCTATAAAATATATATTCATAGTTGCCTACCGCAGAGTTAATCAAACTTTGAATATTTCGAATTAGACAAGGATCATTTTTTAAATCGTTAAATCACCCTCCGAACGGATTGGGTAACGTAGTTTTTTTGAAGGAAGGGATGTAAATTAGCGTTTAAAATGATAGAGTTAGGAAGAAGAGAAGAGTAGGAAGCTGTAGAAGGGAGCACGAGCGGGAAGATGATCAAAATTCCAAGCAGTTGTTTGATCCGCAACATTCCTAAACAAACCGAGAGTGGCTATCTACTTGAAGTAATGCGATCCCGAGTTGAGCACATTTTCTGCCACTTGGCTCTACTTGACGGCCACACAGACCCTTCTTACATAAACAAATAAACTCACCGTCCTCGCTTGCAAACGACCGCTTTAGATAAGGACCGAGGTGCAAGATCGTCCACACTTTCATCCCCCCCTCTGTCAAATTTAGTAAGTTTGTTTAAAGTAATAAAAACCATTATTATAAGATAAGCTACATACGTGGTTTAAAATGTTTAAATATACATTCGAATGTTTAAATGATATTTAGAAAATGTATTCAATTCTTTACACACATTTTTGTAATTTCCATAGCACAAGATTAAGAGAAAGAGCTCGACCCCAACTTAATATATTATAGAAAAATATGATATTTAACAACATTTTGGCCAATATTTTTTCAATTTTTAACTGTTCATTTCTTGAATTTTGAATCTAGAATAATACAGTAGACTCCCCCTATAACACTGTAGGTAATTCAGTGTTATATGAATTCCATGTTGTACGAGTCACTTAGTTTTTACAAATATGTGAGCCGTTCACAGCCCGACACATGTATTTATAAAATTTAAATGACTCGTATAACATGGAATTCATATAACACGAAATTATCTATAGTGTTATAGAGGGGTCTACTGTATAAATTTTTGCCGTTGACTTTAAGCAAAATTTAATATAAAAAATCAATTTTTGATTTTGCAAACCGAATTTTGTACGTTTGCAAAACTCGAATAAGTAATTTGAGTAATCCAAATATTAAATTATAATTAAATGCATTAATTATTTAATTTTCATTAATATAAATTATGAAATTCCTGATTTTTTTTAATAATAAAATTAATTAATTAATCATAAAGTTTGTTTATTTTATCAATTATTAAATTAATTTTTTTTAAAAAAATAAACATATTTTATAAAATATAAAATTAATTAAAATCATTTATAAGATCTCAAGTGGAATATTTTACAGGAATTAAGTTGATTATCTTTTCTTCGGTCACAAAGAAAATCAATCGGGATATCCTCTTATACGATAGAATTTTTAAAAGATTTAAATTTATTTTACAATATTTATGTTTTAAATATATTTTATAGTATATTTTTATTGTATAAAATTAAAAATTAATTACGTGTAAAGTTCAGAGAGTCAACAAACTTCAATGCGAAGAAACTTTAACCACGTGTTTAAATCTTTCGAAACTGTTAAATATATAATTAAATTAATCTGTCATTTGTAAATTTGTATAATTTAATTTATTATTTGAATAATGGCATTGAAAGTGAACGCTTTTATTTATTTCTTTATTATTTTTTAAGCTAAATCTACGCGACGTGCGATGCGGGAGTGAAGATGATACACAATTAAAAGGTTAAAAAATAAATAAATTTATATTAATTTAATACGTAAAGTTTTGAGAAAAACAAAATAAAAATAGTTCAAGAATATAAAAACAGTAAGGAATTCTTATAAAAATTATTCAAAATTTAAAGATTTGGCCTGAAAATGGAACTCGAATGAATGTTAGAGATATTAAAAAATAAGACAAAAAAAAACAATTGAATTGTTATCGTTCTTAAAATTTACTAAACACCAAGACGAGTTAGAAACGATAAAAATAAACTCACGATGTAAAAAACTCGTATTAAAATAAACCAAGTTCAATGCTATGTTAAACAATTGAAACAATGCAACCTTCCAATTATAAGAGGCAAGTGGATATTCAATAAAAACGAATGAAATATGATTATATCTGAAGTCTTTACTCACCATCTGTGTTTTGCTTCTCTCGAACCACAACATCCACCCTCGCCTTGCCGATCACGTGACTCGAAACTAACTGTTGCTATCGCGTCTACAAAAGTCGGCACAATTGACACGGTAAATGACGTAACACACATAATATAGACGACTTGTAAATCCACCCCGTGTTAAAGAATTAATTAACACGTTCAAACGTCTTTAAACTTTTTTTTTTTACAATAACAGATTACACTCCATTAAATATAAACAATTAATTTAGTTAATTAAAATTGTTAATAAGACATATTAAATACAATTTTCTGACGCCATCATTTATCAAAACCAGTACAAAAATATAACTGGACTCGAGTTTGTTACAAATGTTAAAGGCTCTTTAACGTGTTAAATGTTTCTTGGAAACTCATTTTCGGACAGTTAATTTGTTCTAGTTGAGGGATAATTACAGAATTTATGAAATTGCCTCAAATAAATGGGACACACAAATGTTACTCGGCTTAATCTCTGACATCACGCACTTTGCACCACATTTGACTCTTTAAATAAACCCTTGTTTAAGAATTTAAACTTTTAAGATTTTGAATACGGCAATTAAAAATTAAGGTCATTTAGAAAGCCAATACCGCTCATTTATAATGTTTAAATCATTTAATATTTTAGAAATGTAAAGTTATATATCCAGATATTCAACATGGCCGAAAACATTTTAAGAAACTTGAACTCCCGACTCGGGATGGATGAATCATGAGTTAATTGTAGATAATATGCCCGTTAAATCTTCAAATAAGTCTTGTGTCATTCATACGATCCCCTCCGATCTATTCAGATCGTTAAATCTTTGTATGAATAGTGGATCAAAGAAGAATCCACTCCTACTCTCTTGTGTGATCTTTAATTGTTATGGCTTTTGAGCATCATCATAAAATGATTCTTTTATACACGAACTATCACTCGTTACACCCATTCAGAAAGCGTTAATTTCTCAGATAGATCCATTCAAACAGGTATAAATTCTTCAGATGGTGACATAGGAGATGCGATTCAAATAAATGCAAATACTTCAACATAGGGGAATTCATATACTTCACATAATCTCGTGTAAAGTATATGAATGCCTTTGTAGCGAAAAAAAAAAAAAAGCCAAAATAAACGCAATCATGAATTTAAACGCTCAATTACTGAAGATAAATAAGACTTTTGACACATTTAATCCATCGAAATTTGAGGAATCTCCACACTTTATATTTTTATAAAATTAAATTTTAAGCAAACGCAGACTTCTGTAATTTAAATTAATATATAAAGTCACAGACATAAATTATATGGAGCAATTTAGAGGCTAAATTTATGAAGAAAGTTCTCTCGTTAGTTATAATTTACGTGCGCTTGCAGACTTAATTTGCATAGTGCAACATAAATTACATTTAAAATATTCTCGAGACTTTAAATTATTAAAAAGGAACCATTTAATTTCTTAAATACTTTTACATTTTTTTTTTTTTTACGGTTGAAGGTGTTTAAAAACGAATGACTAAGTGTTCAAGGTAGGACAAGAGGCCTTCTGACCTAGAAGTTCCTGCAACGAATTCCACAATTCTCTCAACTACTGATAACGGCTAAAGTAAATATTTGACTTGGAAAATATCTTCAAAACTTTAACTCGTAAAATTTGATAACTCGAGCGAGAGCGGTTAACCCGGAAAAAAAAATTTTTTTTCGATGTCTATGCAAAATTTCTTTATAAAAAAATTAAAATTTTAGAATTTATAAGCGCCATCTTTTATTAAAAATATTATATATATATATACATTTAAATTTANAAACTTAATAATTTAAAAAAGTTTAACCGCTTTGTGCTGCCATCTATATAATAAAAATCACACTATTAAAAATTTATTTTAATAATGATATCATAAAACGTTTATTTATCATTACAAAATAAATGTTGATTGATACATAAATTATTATTATTTATTATAAAATCATTATTATTATTTATAATAAAATCAGTTTTTAATTTTAAAAATTTAATTATATTTTATTCAAAAATATTTAAAAAAAAATGAAAATTATGTATTAGTAATGGTTATTTTAACTTTAAAATTTTTTAAACTTTCTAATATATAATAATACTAAAAATATGTACTGTATATAATTTTTTACATAATGCCATCTATCGCACAAATCTGTTACTTCTCTATCTGTGCAATAGATGGCGCATTTAACATAAATTTTATTATTATTTTTTCTTTTATTTTCAAATTTAAGTAATAAATAATAATGAAACAATAACGTAATATTTATTTTTTTCCATCTGGTATTTACATTTCACTATATTCTTCTTGGAGTTCGCGATCTAAAAGATATTCTCCCATTCCTCCGACCATAGCTATTAGTATGGACTTGTAACGAGTTAGCTTGTCGATGGATTGAACTTGTTCTTCAAGATAATGCTCTTCTAAAAAGTGGGTTAACTGAAAATAAATAAATAAATAAATAAAAACCTCAAGAAAATGAACATTAAAATTGATAATTTTTAAGTTATATTTAAAAATGTAATTACGTGCGCATCTTTGCATTTCTTTTCTGCATTGCTGTGAAGTGCATGAAGCTTATCATTCAATTCCATTTCTAAGGCAATGGCATCTTCCAAAGCGAAACGGGCATTTGACCATGTAGCTTGTTTGGGCATCTGAAAATATTAATTTTAAATCAAATTTAATTTTATTGAAATGTGTTTTGAGAAAATTATCAAAATTTTAATCATAAAATTAGTATAATAAATTTGATATTCTCAATTTCACTATCGTTATGATCGGGTTGTTACCGCTGATTGTAAATTCTTTGGTTTATGCATGCGATCTCCTTTTCCAAAATTCTCGAAAACGGTAGAAGATAAAATAAAACAGTATTTTGCAATAGAATTCTAATTAATTTTTCTATTAACGAACGGTTCGGAACTTTTAAAATCGAATTCCTTAATTTTCTACGAATTTTTGAAGTCGCAGAAAATTAACGAACTCGAGTTTCTGAACCGTTCATTAATAGAAGAATTAAACAGGATTCTAATCCAACTTTAAACGTAGAATTAGATACAAAGTTTAAAAAATTATTTTTAGGCAATCACGACAAATTGTTCTTCAAACTTTATATATTTATAAAGAAAATAATGAAATAATTAGAATGAACACAACTTAAGATACTTACGGTAACGTTGAGCACGTCCATTTCCGATCCCCTCTTATTTAAATATGAAATTAACTTTTCGGCATGCTCCTTTTCTTCCCACGAACTCTTTTTGAAAAGTCTAGCGAAACCTTTTCTCGCAATTGAATTTTTATCAAAATGGCCAGCCTAAATAACAACATACTTTAATCAGAAGTTATTTGAAAAAATTCTAATTCACAAGAGATGGAATGCATGATTTAATAATATAGTTGTGAGAAAAGTTTGATAACTATCTTTCAATGTAACGTAATTACATTAATATAAATATTTACATTGAGATGATAAAGTTTAATTACTATTAAGAACAAGTTAACAAGCATTAGGTTCATTCAACTCATACTTTAACTATAGAATATAATTAACTAAAATCAATCACATTTTTAAATAATTCTCCTGAATCCGTCCAAAGCCTGGTCATCTCTCTTTGTATTTTTCGGATTTTCTAAGATTTTGTATTTATTTATTCAAGAATAACTCGCACATAGATAAGACATTATGTGAAAGCTATCATTGGAATCAACAGATATTCATATACTGTATTGCAAAATATGATAGAGAAATTAATTTAAAACATTTTTATATATCATAATTTACTATATACTATAGACTTAGAGTAACGTTTTGTTCTCTTGAAATTTTTATAGTTAAAAATTCTTATATTTTAAAAAACCGATTCAAAAATTACTAGAGGTGATCCTCACTTTTGTAAGGCGAATTCGCACTTCATTTTCACTTAGCAAAAATTTGGAGCTATCACGCAGCCGTGCTTTCTGTCAGTTTTACTTTCGGTAGCACCAAAAATCATTTGTAAAAATATTTTAATCACTATAATGTACTCGCTGTAAAAAATTACACTTTCTGATCTTAATATGGGATATTTTTCTTTTAGCTCTGTAGGGAAGGAATTGATTTTATAACACGCAACTCTATTGCTAGACTATCGTATACATTTTTAAGAATGCCTGTATTTGTGAATACGTTTTGTTTGATGGAATGAGGGCGATTCATCTCAGAACGACTTTTTTCTTGAGAAACCTTTTCTAGTTAAATGTTAGACACGTGAAAAAAAACCAAAAAAAAAAAAAAAAAAAAAACAGAAAACTCCACGAGTTGAGCCGTTTGGTTAGGCGGGAACTCGGGATTACCAATGTTTAATGGTTTATCCACTCGCCTTTTGATGGTCGCATATTAAATGCTGTTCTCTCTCTCTAGAAAATTGTCTTAATTAATGCTAATTCTTTGTATTTTTTAAGCATTTATATTATTTTAATTCCTTTTTAAACAGTATTAAATTGAATTATTCGTTCTAAATTGGATATATATTATGTATAAACGTACTGTACATAGATTTCTTATCATTTACGTAAACTTCGAGCATTATATTCGTTTTTCCATCAACAAGCAATCATTTACTATTCTAAATTATCAGAGGACATTTGAAGCGTTTATTTATAGTAAAAAATAGTTTGACAAATTATTTAAAAACATTTTTTGAAAATATGGCTCAAAAATAATTAGAATAACTAATTTGTTAATTAACTTAATATTTTTTGTTTTTAGTATGTAATACAATTCTTTACATCTGTCTCTAGCAGTAATAATCTACATAATATAATAGTTTTTTGTATTATATTCTAACCTAATAATAGTTTAAAACAGTTTTATAAAACCATTCAAAATTATACAGTACCTCTTGTTATGTTATTGATATATATCATAGCTATATCATCATTATTCATATACTGTCTATATACCACATAAAATGTGTAACTCTTCTTTCACATTTTATGCACAGTATGCTTCAGTGTGTCTAAAATGTGAGAAAATAATTTTTAAAAATTTTACTGTTTCATATTTTTACAAGAAACAGTAGAATTTTTATTATAATTCATTTACAAATTGAACTTTTTCAATATAAAACATAAAATGTAAATCTAACCATATTCATGTAGACCAGGCTTGCCCTCATTTCCTCATTGACTTGTGCTTGAATGTATGCTGTACATGCCTCATGAAGTTGATAGCAATCTGTACAAGGCCCTTTTAACGTATTTTCTAAAATATATATGTTGTTACATTATTAGGATCCCATTTAAATTTAATTTCAAAAGTAATTCTTACCTTTACATCCAACAAAACATAACATAGAGCATAAACCAAGTAGTAGTGTGGTTACTTTATAAAAGTCCATGTTCTTTTGAGAGAAGAGGACCAAAAGTATATTTTTACTGGTGACAAAAGTCAAAATGACGGTACAAAGTGCTTTACAAATGTTTATGTGAACTAATTTGGTTTGAGTTGATAAGAAAATGTTTACATTAGTCAGTAGATATTAAAGATAGTTTCAACAATATTTTGTAATCATATTCTTCAAAAGTGATAGAGAATTTGAAAAAAAAACTATTTCTGTCTTCATTTACAATCTTATGGGTCTTTAACATCAATTTTAGTTGGTTTTTATATAATTAAAAATTATATACTTTGAAATTAATTAAAATATAATTTGCAAATTTATATAAATAATTAATTAAAAATTTGATAATTTAGCAAAATTTTCTCATTACATAAGCAATATTCTTATAAGCTGTCCAGATAATTTAATATCACAATTTGTCTGATGAATTAAATTAAGAAATTTTATTAAAAGTTTCTGAATATACATTAAATTTACACAGAAATGTATATATAAACTAATATTTACGAGGAATTTTTTTCTTGTTTATTTGTCCATGAGGATGTTAAAAAAAACACTGGATCCGAGGACATCTCTACATAAACAACAACCACTTGTATAAGTGACTATTTTAAATCTAAATTTGAAATAATTAACTTTGATGAAAATTGCCAGGTCAAATAAATTTACAAAATTTAAGAAAATTCAATAAAGTAGACAATACATAAGAGGGATGTTTTTAACGTTTTACATATCGAGGTGGACGAGTATCCTCAAATGAAAGGTCAACTCTGACATGGAACTTAATTTCCTCGTGTGCCTGCGAAGGAACATGAGAAGACACTTATGTATTGTCTACTTTAATGAATTTTCTTAAATTTTTTGTAAATTGAAATAATTAAATTTTATTTATACACAGAATAATTTATTTTATCTTAAAAATAGGTGAAATGTGGCATCATATTCAAATAAAAAAATACAAATAAATAAATGTACTGTTTAATTAACAAAGTTGAAAGCTATTTAATTATTGGTTTGAATATATTAAAGGAATTTGATTTGAAAAACAGCTGAAATAAATATGAATCATTAAAATTCTAAATACACTTAATTTCATTATTATTGTATTTAAAATTCTGGTTAATTTTTTTCTTCATTAAGAAAAATTATTTATCTATCTCTTTTCTGGACAAGATTTATAAACTAACGCTGTTTATATGTTTGCAATAACAACTTAAATGTATCAAATAAGAAAATATTTATTTATTTCATCCTTCACAATTAATATAAACAACAAATATTCCAAATAGAAATGTTTATAAACACATTTTATGAAAAAATTATTATATAAAATTTTCATTTACATATTTTATATAATATGCTAATAGATTTTTCATGAAGAAGCATAAAAATGTTCATGATTAAATAAATTTTAATCATGAACATAGATAGTTTATTGAACAAAGATTCCATTTGTTAAAACTAATTAGAATTGCTAATGTGTACCAATAACAGATTAAAGAATAAATAAAATCTGTTTAAGTCAATGATCTATACATTTATCACTCAAGTATCTTAAAATTTTGTTTATAAAAGGACAATCATTTTCTAAGTAAACAACATTCTTCTTATACTGAATGAAGATTTATCTATAGAATCTTCATAAAAGTTAATATGTTCATTCTATACAGGAAAAATAAATTAATGTAAAATAAAATATCATTTTAAATAATTTTTTCAAACTCATTTCAAAGAAAAGTTTGATCTAATGTTCTAAAAAGCAGAATTCTGCTTTGTGCTTCTTTTATAATATAATGTTAAAGATTTAATATTACTTTCTAGTTATATAATTAAACATTTTTCAAATATATCCTTATGTAGTGTAATTTAAATTATCTCCATATCAGTGGTTCTTAACATTTCTAAGGCTGTGGAAAACCATTTATATACTTTTCATTAGCATTATCATTAATATATCTAAAAATTGATAAGCAATTCCACATTTACTATTCTCACAAAACAATAACTAATAAAGTAGTAAACATGGAATTGTCTACAAATAAAATATGTTGTAAATTTGAAATAAAAACTTAACTTTTTTTTTCAAACACTAGGGATATGATTTTGAATGGGATTCATACTGACAAATTTTATTTAATGTGGAAATATTACATCACTTTGTCAGATGAAGACAAAATATATAACTGAAATAGAAATTATGAAATTTATTCAAGACATTACAAATATAAAATTGTTAATGCATATAAATTTTTACTTGTTATGATCATTATCATGATAACATTACATGAAGACAAACAGAAAGTGATGCAAATAATTACATCTGTTCCTGCTTTGTGACTCATCTTATATTTTTGAAAAATTATTTAATTAATAAACTAAAAAAATTTATATAGTTAATTCTTAGTTTACAAGCTTATTTCAATCTCTAAAAATTATAAGATCAAAAGTTATAAAATAAACAAGCAATTATTGTGACATTGTCACAATGCCCTGCAATTTTTAATTTATTTCATTTAAAATATATTCTCTCCACCTCAAATTAATAGTGATTTGCTCCTGTACATCATACTTTTCTCTATCTAACTCTGTTCTTGAGATTAAGGAAAGACGGACAAAGGGATGGACAACAGTGGAAATTTATAGGTCTACAATTTTTTCAAATTGCAGCCCAATAATTTCCATTGCTTTCTATATTATAAATCTAAATTATCTTGCTAACATAGTCATTTAAGAACTGTATTATCTTATTTGCAGACACTTAATATAAACATAATAAATACTTGCATTATGTTGTGATTCATTCAGATATGCTATTTTCAGGTATTATTATTTCTCTATGAGAAAATAGTTCATATAAAGTTAAAAATTTACTTAATGTGATGCCTCTCGCAACTAAAGCGTTAGAGCACATTTGGGTAGTTTTTTCTTGTAGTTACATTATTGCCAAGTTAGGAATTTTCATCCTAAATTTAAGATTTTCTGGTATTTTATATTACTGTTGTTGCTTTTTTAGTATAATTTATAAACAATAAGATCATAGCAGCATTTTAAAAAGTTATACACTAGTATCTTTACATTTTGCATCAATTAATAATGTTATGCAGGAATCCACTATATAAAGAATAAGATTAGATTATGGTAAAAGATATTTCTCTTTAGATTAACTTTATCTTAACATAAATCAAAATCATATTTAAATATGGAAAGGTAAAAATAGATTTAATTGTTGTATTGTTAATGATTGACAAATTTTAGAAATTTAAAATAATCCCAATTGATTTGCTTTTTGTGAGTTTTCTATTCTATTGAATCAAATTATTATGGTCTAAGACACATTACTTATGTATGTATGGTGCAGCAAAAATTCAAATAAAGATTCAAAGATAAACAAATTTGCTTTCATGAAGGTATTTTTATAATAATTTATCANTTGGCTATGGAGCAGAATCAATCTTTATAGTAAATACTTAGAGCTAATTCTGAAAATAAAGATAGTTAAAGCACCAGTACATTCCCCACATATATCTTAGATTTTTTAATCATCAAACAACAAAAGTGGAACAGAATGTTGACAGTGCACAGTACATTATCCAATAAATGACATTCATCTTTCTTGCCTATGTCATTTGATCATTTCCAAGAGGATCAGCACAATATAAGATATATTAGTTTTTCTCAAATGATCTTAACAAGCAATACTGAGAAATATCAGTAATAAAATAAAACTTAATTTTTCTATTTTCTAGAATTTACGAATTAAAGATCATCATTTCAGATAATAAGTTTATTGATATATGATATAGCTATATGATTATATTCAATTTTATCCTTATGGACAAGTAACAAAACAATCAAGATCATATCTGAATTAAGATCTCTTGTGAAATGATGACACTATTGCACAATCTACTGTCTAATGATAGGAGGACTTTATTCTAAAAACTGTTCTTACAATGAAGGATATTTTTCCTTTTCCACAACAATAAAAAAATTGTATTTACTACCAGATAATTTTACGAAGATCAGCTCTATCAATTGAAGTACGACAAACGGGACAAGATTTCAGGTGTTTAACACAGTTTTTACAGAAAAGATGTCCACATTTTGTTGAATAAATATTAATATCTTTATCATAAAGCTGTAAAAAAATAAAAAATATTTTCAGTCAAATAAATATACTAATAAATCTTAAATGAATTATTTTTAAACAAACTTACTAANTTTCAGTTAGTTTATGCTTTATTTTTGTTCTATTTATTATTAAATTAAATAATATAATAAAGCTAATGAAATTAATCTTTCCATTGACAGGGATATTTAAATGCTATTGTTGATCCCAAATTTGGTGGAATTTGGGTGGCTTTTGGAATTCATTTGACCTGAAAAAGGGATCTGTTTGACCAAATAGAAAAGAAATAGAAATCATCTTATGAAAACAATTAAAACAGAAAGCAAATAGCCATTTCAGACTACTTTAAATTAATATTAAGGATTGTATGTATTACATTTTTATGTACAGTACAATATACAGAATTGCATGTGATGAATAAATAAATTTTCTTGCAGTATAATGTCAAGGGGTTAACACACAGCATTTTTTAAATTTGAGTAGTTAATATATTGTCTATTTAGTAGCATGTGTAGTGTTACACTAGACACAGTTTGTTTTCTGTCTAAACACAAACTAAGAATTGAGTTGAAGTGCTAACAAGTCAATGTTTTGAGGCCATCTATGACAATTACTTGCCATGGTAGCAGCAAGTGGTAATGTCAGATAGAACAAAAAAGAACTGTGCACGTTCATACTAGTGATCTTGGACACTATCAATTTGACCCCAGTGTATCTCAAAAATGAAATCACAGACCTCTGAGTTTTATTATATTTTTAATTTCATCTCATATTATTAAAATGACAAAGTATAATTAAAATTGACTGATCAAATTTTGAGAACAAACTCAATAAACTATATGCAAATAAAAGAGACTTTGTTAATGCTTCACCTCAACTGTTTATTTTATGTAGTACTATGTATTACTCAATATCCATTATATTTTCATCATTCTTTGATAAGACCACTCCTTGAGATGGCCATTTTCCTAAGTTTTGGAGGTGATTGTTTTAAAAGAGATTTTACTTTATTTGGAATTCAATCATCAGCTATTATATTTTATCAATAAATTGAAAAGNCAACTTTTAAAGTATATTGTTTTTGGTTTTTATATTTTTCAATATATTTATTTTGTTTGTAAAAAATAAAGAAACAATTTTTAACGATACAATAGCCATGATTATTATTTTAAAAAGTTTATGTTAGACTTAACATCGACAAAAATTCAACGCGAAGCAACACGCAATGGAGAAAAATTTCAATATGGGATAGGCTAATATATTTTTTCGTTTATCCGAAAAATAAGTTATCCAAACAACCTCAGTCTCCAATTGAGTTGGATAAACGACACACTACTGTATCCCAATATCTTTTGGAAAGAACTCATTTTGTCTCAGATTTTATTCCTAAGTACTTGGCAACCCTAAGGATGGGATGATAAAATTGAAACTGCTACCATGTACAATATACAATGTTGGGCATATTGCATTGTTGCATTAGGTGTAAAAATTTGACTCAATCTTTATTCTTAACATCAATGTCTATTTTCTCCTATTCTGTCTTGTAAAAAAATATACAGTCGACCCCCCTATAACACAATGGATACGTTCTGGTTTTTATGAATTCATTTTCTACGAGTCCAACCAATCACAGCCTGGCACGTATGCAGTTTATGGACTACGGCTGTTTGAAAGGTTTCTTCCATAAAATTAATAAATTCTAGACTAATTCAACTCAACATTTCCAAAATACGTATAATTTTTTCGGAATAATCCATATAAACTATGCTAAAAACAAAAAATTGTAGGATTACTTACCGAGCATGCACCATTCGACTATGCCATTGCTTAAGCTTGTTTTCGTCATGGAGCTTGTCATCAAATGGCGCTTGCGTGCTTCCTGATAAATTATTTTTTTTTGCAAAAAATTCGCTGAACTTTGGAGACATTATTAATATAAATATAATTTTTATGGACGTTAAATAATAAATGGTTTTTAGTAGGTCCGCTGTTCGTTTAAACTCAACGGTTTGTGCAATATCCACTATTGGTCTAGATTCAACCAATCCTGTCGCGACATGAGTCGGCGATGATGTTTTACCAATTATACGAGTTTTTTTAGCATGTTTGTACAAATACTCTCGCAATTTTTTTGCCATGATAGGGAATCCGAACTATAGGAACCCACGTTATGGGGGGGGTTGACTGTAAATAATTTGCTATTAATATCTTCAAGTTAGTTTATGCTTTATTTTTGTTCTATTTATTATTAAATTAAATAATATAATAATTCGAAAGTTTTACGAAAACAAAAAAATCCAGGAGAACATGGAACAAATGTTTCCTGTGTTGACAGTCAGTTTCTGCAAGAGATTGTTATCTCCCATGACTAAAGGGCTGACTAACTCAAAAGACTATCAACCACACCCAGTCAGATGCTCTTAATCCTTAATCTCTATTGAAGGAAAAGGGGAGTATAAATAAGACATACACGCCAAACTCTGTGCACAGCACATCACTATCACTGTATCCTCAAATTTAACTTAGTGCCATACTTTATAACATTGAACTTCTGTCCGAAAGACAAAAAGGTTACAAGTCAAGAATAATATGGAGGTAGTAAAATCAGTACTTTTGTAAACTCTCTCTCTCAACCTTTAGGGACCTAGTTTAAGGTTTAATCATAGCTAGATGTTTTTCAGTTAATTCATTTGTATTCTTTGTTATTCATTAAAGTTTTATTAATTTGTTGACTGAACTAAATTCTACTTTCCTCACGGACTCCTATCACTTACTCACATGTGTCTCCCCACTCAAACGAGCCCTCCTAATCAAAATAGTAGTATAAATTGCAAGTTGGGACGCGCATAATTATCCTAACTGATGTCAATCCTGACGTTGATCTCAATTTCATGATCTAGATCTTTATTACCGCTCATAGGTCAGCCATCCTTTGATGTAAAGATCGGATCTCACAGATCTTGTGCAGATTAAGCGGTCATTAGGATTCACCCTTGACCCCCTGCTTATCTCACAAACTATATCCATCTTTATAATCATTGTAAGATATATTTGTAAATTTATGATGGATAATGCATCCGATATCATCAAATAATAATATAAAATTTCTTGCATATATCTTATTTGTATAATCAGGAGTATATGGTTTCGAAGGAATCATTTGATTGTCTTTTAATAAACATATAGAATTTAAATTGTAATTATTAACATTAAAAGGATCGTATTTTACATTTTACACTAAATGCTGAATTAGAAACTAAACCAATTGTAATTCTGTAAGGTAACTGACCAATAACAGCATTTGATATATTTGTAGACTGAATTCCAGTACTTAAAGTAAAAAATTTAATATCTGTTCTGCAGAATGGCATTTTTATGACACCTGTTTGCAATGCTTTTTCTATTCNATTGCCAGAACGAAATTTTGTAAACCAGTTTTGGCACTGTCGTTCTGTCAACACATCTCCACCATACATGTCACACGATTTTTTTCTTGCTTGAATGGCATTTTTATTTTTTTGGTAATAAAAAAGCAAAATATGCCGAAGATGCTGCTTTCGGTCTTTCATATTTGATAGGACACAAAAAATAAACAATTGCACGAAATCAAACAAATTTTTTTACAAATAAGCCATAAAATGCTAGCTGTCAAAATATATAATAATACGGTTTAGAATGAAAATGGCGGGGAAAATACCACTAATCCGTCTAGTGGTAAAAAAAAAAACGAACTTACTTTCCGAATAACCCAATAGTTGCTGATAAGAAAAGAACTGATGGAAACATCAAACCAAAAAAGTACCCAAAAACGAGTAAGTCAAAATCCTGTGGATTTTGACTTACTCATTCTTACTTTCAAATTCGAATGGATAAAATACTGGTAAAAACACACTAGATATAACTATCATAAGAAAAAAGTGTGGATTGTTGACATTGTGATAACTGATGACAGCAGGGATCAAAGAAAAAGAACTGAAAAAGTTCATAAATACAAAGACCTGAAGATTGAAATACGACTTTGGCACAAACTAGCAGAAATGGTCTCAGTGGTCATTGGCACATGGTACTGTTCCTAAAAACCTGGGGTAGCACTTGCAAGAACTCAATATTGACAAAATTGACATGTCAACTTCAAAGGCTGTTCTGCTTGGATCAGTGACATCTTATGCTTATATATCATATCATCAACCAAAAAACTGGCTGTTGTGAAAAAACAATAATATATTAGCTCAATAATTGTAATAATGAAAAAGTCAATCAAAAACTCTAAAAAAGTTTGTTTTTGCAAAAATTTGGTGCATTTCTTACATTGATGTAAATAAATTTCGTGTTTTTTGGATGTCAAAAGTCTTTAATTAGCATCATATGTTAAAAATAGGTCATTCCTGGCTTTGACTTCAATTTTACTTCTATTAATCAACATATTACATCAAGTATATAATTATATATGCTATTCTATGACAATGACATGTGCTTAAATTAAAGCACTCTGAATTAAAAAAAATTTTTACATTAATTTATCAGTTCAGTGTTGCATGGCAAATTATAAGGTGGGCCTATTTAATTATTTGTATTAGTTAATTTGAATTTTCAAAAAACTATATAGTAATAATTATTAACTGGTTTGTAAGTTGTTTTATTTTATGTGCAATAATTTTTGGGTCCTGAAAATATTCTGCACCACTGATATTTGGTATTTGATTTTACAAATACTGAAATTCAGTATTTAGTAGTATTTCAGTATTTGTATTTGAAATACTTTAGCATTTATCTATCTAACTTTTTCTAATACACACACACATACATACATACACATACACACACATATATACACACACTACTATTCTTGTTTTTATTTTGTATGATATTATTTTAATACAAGCAAATTTAATCCTTGATTTAAGATATCACAAAAGTCATATACAGTAATACCCCAAACTTACGCGATAGGTGGGACCGAGCGATAACCGCATAAGTCGAATTCGCATAAGTCGGGGTATAATTTCGCAATTTGTGTAAAATCCAAGTCAGATGTATGTAAGCTAATAAATGTTCTCGTTAATCTTATCTCGTCTTTTGAATCAAAAGACGAGATAAGATTAACGGTTACAAGAAATCGCCACATAGAGTCTCTCAAGTCTCTGTAGCTATAACAAACACAGAAATAAATAACACAAAATAAATTGTAGCTATGTGTCGATTCCACGTGACACGTCCAAACACGTAAGCTGAACAATAGTGTGGGGGAGTGAGTAATCAAGAGTTGTGTGGAGCTCAAACAAAAGACAAATCGATGAGATTTGAAAATTGCGTAACTCCGGGTTTGCGTAAGTCAGGGTAGCGTAAGTCGAAGTATTACTGTGTATGAAAAAAGGAAAAAACACATTTCTGAGTATTTTGATATTTTTAATTTTTGTCCACAGCTGTTGAAGATTACTTTCAGATACTGTATTTTTTACTTTTTTTTTTTTTGATATTGTATTGTATTTAAAATATGAAAAATTTAAAATCAAGTCAACTCTACAATAATACCGTTTCTTTTTTCTTCTAGTAACTTGATTTAAATCTGGCACAACTTCTGCTTCAAACACTTTTTCTTCAGAAAAGATTGGAGTTTCTACTGTTCTATCTGAGAAATTAAATAAAATTAATATTTATTATTATTAAATAAATTAAAATCATATACAAATTAGAATTCATAATGTTAATAACAATAAAAACTACTTAAATTGAATATACCTATTTAAATGCATGCTAATAAAATAAAATTTATTTATAATATAACTCATTGATTTAAATAAATTGTATATATAATATAACTTAATTAAATTATTATAAAGTAATTGAAAACTAATTTTTCCTCCAATTTCTGAATTTCATTATTAAATAACAATAACAATCCACAAAACCTTTTTATAACAGTGTTGTCTCCATAACAAACTTCACAAACGTTTTTGACCTCCACTGAGGTCTGCTTCAGGTGGTGACTAAATGGTGTCTCCTCTTGACCGTTGGAATGATGACGTCTGAGATGTAAATAATTGTGCATATTGTGTTTCACACCTCCGCTTGTCCCAATTCGAATTCTTCGAACAAGTACCTCCACGCCTGCATGATCATTTTTCCATCTTTAAAGTTGATGCAGGTGCCCCCAATGTTGGCTTTATAAATCTCCCAGGCCTCCAGGTGACGGATATGATCAATAAGAAATGCTTGTCTGATTACTCTGGTGTTTCGGAAGTCCGCCAACTTCCAAAACACCAGAGGAATCAGACATTTAGTCACTACCTGAAGCAGACCTCGGTGGATGTCGAAAACATTTGTGAAGTTTGTTATGGAGACAACACTGTTATAAAAAGGTTTTGTGGATTGTTATTACTGAACGCAGTGTTAAGTTATTAGAAGTCGTTTTGTGTTAAATAACAATAACACCACCACTTCTTTGAAGAAACAGAAAGGTTCATGATTATCATCCACGACTGTTTCGTAAATACAAACATATCAAATCAGATTGCAAACTTTTAACACAAACTGACTACTCATATTTACCTCAAATATCAAATGTAATACATCAAAAGCTTGTACACAAATACAAACTACAATAAAACAGGAACCATACTACATGTATTGTACATTCCTCAGATATCTTTAATAAAAAAAATCCCACACAAATTATGACCATGCTACAATCACAGATAAAATAGTCCATTTAATGTTTCAAGCTTCTATATTTGCTTCTAATCTGAGGACATATCACACCTTTTGGGGAATGTTTTCAATTAGAAATCAAGAGACTTTTTTAGCTGTTCTACTTTATTAAATTGTGAGTATATTTTTATATAATGTAGCAAAATCAAAAATTTTGTATACATAGATGTACAGGTATCCCATGTATAACATAGTAGTTACATTCCAAAAAAGTGCAACATTATGCAAATTCATGCTATACAAAACAAAGGACTAATGCAAAACATGGAGTTATGTTCCAGAAGTTAATAACAAAAAAGAATAGTATACTTTTGCTAAGAGAAATATGTTTATTAAAGCAATTAATAATTTATTTCCAATCAATAATTAATTAACAATCAGAATTAAAAGTACTGTCTTACACATTAATATTAAATTTTAGTTAAACAAGGGTTTTTTTTCTTTTCACAAAGTATCATAATCAGCTCAGCTTCTTTTTTTGTTGATCAGAAGTATCAGCAACATTTTCATAATGTTGTTGATACTACTGATAACATTTAATTTTTTATTTTTATGATAAAAATAAAAAATATATTATTAAAAAATTATTAAAATAAAAATATATTATTAATAAAAAATTTGTTCTAGCAAGTTGCATTTGTTCAGTTGAGTGCCAAGTGACTTTTTTCAGAATTTGTGTTTAAATACAAAAAAAAAAAAAAAAACCAAATTGTTTGAGTACTGAGATACCACTGTATTTCATTTCTCATTTTTTATGAATGAAGTAATCATTCATAGGTAGTAATACCTACAGTTAAAAAAGTTTAATAACACTTACCTAAAGATGTTTAAATAAACTTAACTAACTACGAAGATTATTCTATATAAAATAAAATAACAACACAGAAACAGTCTTAAAGGCTAAAGTCATATTGAATAACAAAGTTTACACTTAAAAATTGTGAAATTTTGACAAAGGATTTCCAAAACCATGTTAGAGTGAAACTGTAAGTTGTGTTATATGGGAGATATCCCCAATTTTCAAACTGTGTCGTATTAGGGATAGCTGTACTATAATTATGTTTATTTTCTTTTAAAACAAAAGTAATGTAGTTGTAAAAGAAATTTATAATCTGAAAAGTATTTTAAAACTGAAACAGACAGAACTGTCCAAAATGCAAATTTAATTCCCCAAAAGGTGTGATAAGTCTCAGATTAGAAGCAAATGTATAAGCTTGATAACATTAAATTTGAACAGAAGGACAAGAAGCTTTTAATTAAAAATAATCCATCACATACAACATAGACATAGTTGGACCAAACACTTAAAACATACAAAATACATATGCTAAAAATAATTAGTAAATATTCAGAATTTGCCATGAAATAAAATGTCTGTAGAGAATAAATGAAGTATGCATTTGCCAGTAATCTCTTCTTGCACATTGTCATGCCACAAACACTACATAGACTTGAAGCATTAAGAGCTTCACAATAGCACACATCATACTACAGAAGGTTACCATATTAAACATATCACACATTCAGGAAATTCTTAAACACTAATATGTAATGGTATATGGTACAAATAGCACTTAAGCAAAACATTTGTTTCCTACAGTTGTCTTGACTTTGATATAACACTAGGTATTAGTACATTTGCAATGTAGGATATATTCCACCAACACCATGATAATAATACCATAGTTCTCACTAGTCACCACCTTGTTGAGGTGGAGAGAAATATAAATAAGGCAAGGCATTTCCCAGGGAGATTTCACTAATAAGGAGAGAGTCAGATATTTGAGTCTTCAATTCAAATGAAACTTTGTGAGCATGTAGCCTTTAACACAGACAGCCCCTTTTCCAAATAGTAAGGAAGCATTCCTAAAAAACAGATCTCTAAAAATTGTGTTACAGCAATTAAAATCATGATCTCATTTTCTTGATAGCAAAAATGAAGTCTTTGTAGATGTTATGTCATTAAATAAAATTTTTATTTCTTCATATTTATTTTCAGATTTGGTGGTATTGTTAGATTTGAAGTGTAACACATATGAACACGAGAAAATGGTCCATAACATTACACTAAAAAAGAAAAAAGCTATGGCTATGCTACCCATTTTCTTTTCATCCATGTGCAGTAACATCCAAAGCTTATTTAATTAATCATGTTGACACAATATGAAACATATTTGTAAAGTAAAGATATAAAGTCCAGAAAATATCTCTAAACAATTTTATTTTTAGATTGACCTATAATTCCTTCAGAACATGTGTTTGTTTATTTTTGAGTTTAATACATTAAAAATGTTTTTGACCATTTTAAGCGATCTTCTTCAGTTCAAATTTGAACCATATAACAAACAAAGTATTCGAAATAATACAAAAATTGAAGGCGCTTATACAAAGAGCAACTGAACAAAGGGAAAGAACTGTGATTAATTACCATCTGTTTCTAAATAAAATTATTAAGAAAGTTGCCAGAAATAGGAATATAAAAATAATTTATAGGCGTAATCCTATGATGTATAAGCTTTTAAGAAACGATAAGAGAAGATATGAGCGTAATAGCATGACAGGAGTTTACTCGATACTTATGAAAGACCATAGTTTTAACTCCGACCTAATATATATAGGAGCAACAATGCGGAACCTGAAGAAAAGGATTGATGAGCACAAATACTCAGTGAATAGAAGTGTTGATAGCACAGTCCTTGCAGCATTTGCGAAGCAGCAAGGAATTGCAGTGTACAGGGATCAGGCAGCGATTATTAGACCTACAAGATCAACACAAGTGGTGAAACACCTGGAAAAAGTTGAGATACACAAGACGCATATGACCGTGCAGTGCATCAATCACAGAGATGCTGAAGGTTTATCAACAGCCTGGAAGTCCTTTTATGATAACATAGATTAACTGTTATAACTGTGTAGGTGGTGTTATTAATTTATGATATTTCTTGATATATAATTTTTGGTTTAATCTATTCATTTTATGGGTACGGGCATGCGCTTTTACGTTAAGTTGTGAATAAGCACTTTAAATTTTTGTATTATTTCAAATACTTTGTTCATTATATGGTTCGAATTTGAATTGAAGAAGATTGCTTAAAACAGTCGAAAACGTTTTTAACATATTAAACATTGTACTGGAATAGAGAAAGGTGTTTGTTTATTTTATTTAATTAATTCCAGTAAACATTTATTTATTTGTTTAATATCTAAATTTATGGTCTTATTTTCCACTGCAACTCTACACACTCCATCCATTAAGATGCTAGACCAGAGTTTCTCAAACGTTTTGTTTGAGAAACTCTGGACCCAATATATTTGTTTGTAATGGTTCTGTGATCCAAATGTTTATAATATAAAATTTTTAAAAACCTGGTAAACTGGAGTCACTGTATATTATATAATGAAATAAAATTATGCGTAATGAGCAATTATTTATTGTGACATCATCACAATGCTGGGCTGCTATTTTAACTATATTTTTAATTTATTTAATTTAAAATATATGCTCTCCATCTCAAATTAATAGTCTTGTCCCTGTACATCATACTTTTCCTATTAATAATGAAGTCATGTTGATCATGTATGTAACTCCATTCAGGAGAAAATTTTTTATTTGAAATCACGACTTCAAGTATAGACCATATATAGTTAATTGTGGACTCCTGCCCCTAAGCTTTCCACATCCACTCTTGATTTTCACCTAACTCTACTCTCAAGATTAAGGAAGAACAGACAATAGATGGACAACAGTGGGAATTTATAGGTCTACAATTTTTCAAATTGCAACCTAATAATGAATAATTCTTATAACTTCTGTGTGTGAAATATAACTAGACAGCAAATTTTAGGAAAATGCCTATTTTTTTCCTTGGCATATACTTGGCTAAGATTTCGTATGAACACTTTTCATGAACATTTAGACTG